TGTCCTCGTTTGATAAAGCTACTTTACTTTTTAAATTGAATTATAAATGGCGAGTGCCCTTCTTATGTGATGGATTCAATTAAAATCTGTGTTTAAGACATTCACCGTGTATATATTTATCGATGTAGTACTACATGATGACGGGGCGGGGTTGATTGAGAAATTTATTGCATAACTATTAAAATAACATTTAGCATTTTCAGCGCAAAAACTCGTTAACAACAAGTTTTTTTTTTTCAAACGAGATATCGAAAACAGAAGCAAAACTTGAGATCCTATTGCGATATTTTCCAATTGAAACATTGCACTGAAATGTGTGATAAATGTGAATGAAAGAATTACACCATTGTGACAATCTCCAGCACCAGCTGTTTGAGAGATGCTCTCTGATAGCTGATTCACAAGTGGGCATGTCTTTATAATCAGCTTTCAGTAGATAGCTTTACTGATCAAAGCCATATTTATCTGATATTAGTCTTGTATTTAACGGGTTGTAATATTTTTCTACTTCATCGTATGCGTATGATCCCTGACTTTCTAGATTCCATCATGTAGATATTTTAGCGCGCGGCGGCGGCTACGAAAAGTGACCATCGACCAATTACTGCAAATCTCGAGCTAATTGCAAGACAGACTATCATCTAACTAACTCGCATTTTGTTACGAAAAATTCGCCAAATAGATCTTTTAGAATTAACACACACGAACCTAAAAGCTAATTCATCAAAAAAAACTGCGTTATACAGACACTCGAACCATCGATCAGTAGATATATTGTTATAACTATTCCTGTCTGGAGAACACGGTACTTCAAAAGAATCGACTCTAAGTATTACATTGCTAGGACCTGAATTCGGTCCACATAGCAACTTCTTTTATAAAATATATATAACCTCTTTTACACTTTTCACGTCAAGTACTAAACAATTTCCGGAATTATCTGGCTAATCTGAAGCGAAAATACTAATTCATATGTATTTAAAAAAATTTCATTTCTATGGATTTTTAATAGTTAGAACTTCTATTGAAATCCAGTGAGATTAAATGTCTTTGTTCGAATATCGCCCGAGGAAACTGTTCGTGTCTACAGTGCGAGAATTATAAATTTCCAAGGGAGAATAAGTCGTAGAATCTAATGACTTTCCTAAAACTATGAGCCATGTTTAAATATAGCTTATTAATCCACGCATCCCTGGGAGTAATTATTTAGACAACGTTTCATGAATAGAACAAAGCTTGTTTTTAATCATACTTTACAGATAGATGGAATTTAGGGAATATAACTGGGGAGGAGAGAATGAACCCCGATTAGATACTATTAGGTTGCCTTGTATCTACATGGCATGGGTTAATCATCTAAACTCAACAATCTATCAAAGAAATTTGAAATGGTATTGCTCAATTTCCTCTCTTCTGTAAACTCAAAAGCGAATCTTTCGGCTTTTTAGAACTTGAAAGATTTTAGTCTCGCATCTGAAACTCACCATCGTCTACAGACATACAATTCTTTTCATAATAGGATAAAAAAAGAATGCTGTATAAATTGAGATTTAAAAAAAATTCTCCTAACAAAGCTAAATACTGACAAATTCTCTGCTCTTTGTTTTCTTTTTTACCATATATTAGTCATTGTTTACTCATAAAGGATATACGAACTCTATCCAGTACATGGGGGGCTTTGAATGAAGATGAAACAACTTCTTACAAACACCTTGAGCAGCCATTCGAAAAAAACACAGTTTCATTTCGATAAAGACTACATTGACGTTTACTACGCGTAAATTGAAAACGTTTCAAGTCTTTTTCACCAGAAATATTCAGCCAAGTACATAACAATTGCTCGCATCTCGTTATTTGACATATCTATATAGATTGAGTGTGGCAGAAAACAAATTTTATCATAATATTTTCCCCCAGATAATTATTGCCAATAAAAAAGATCATTCTTAGCTAACAAAGAGCTGTTTTAGCAAAAAATATCTGTGTATAAACGAAACGACTTCACGTTGCGATGTTAAGCCACTTAACATGATTGAAAATAAATGTTTATAAAAATGCTGATTATTATTCGGTCAAACAGATGTGACTGGCTTCTTCCACTGCTAATTATAAAAACAAAACAGACCACGATTCATGTCATGAAATAAAAATGTTGAATGGGTAAAGAAATTCTGAGAGGACGGCTGTGTTTGCGATTTGACGAAAGAATAAAAAAGATACGTTTTCTTTTGCTACGCTAAATGGATTTTTTTACCCACTCTTCTTCACATTCCGGGAAGACCTTTCGGTGCTCTTGAATTAAATTCGTAGCTCCACTCAGAACGCTCTTTTTAAACAGTGGATTTAGAATTGCTAAAAGCTTTAAAACAACTTGAAATACCCACAAGCTTTTGTTATTAAATGCATCAACTATGTACCGGCGAGGAAGCCTCACTTCGAAATCTTTTTTTTCGCATTCCATCTGTGGCAAATCTCAAGCAATTCAAAACAAAATATCTGAATCGGTGACGCGAAGCTATTCATTCTAATCGTCCAAATCTCCTGTATGTCTTTGTTAGACATGCAATGAATATTAATTAATACTCTCGTTTGAAAAAATTTAGATATACTCCGTCTCTAAGGGGCCGAACTACTTGTAAAAAGGTGGTTTTTGGTTCAGCCCGTCGCTTTTAATCTAAAGTTGTGGAACACCGTCAACTGGGGCCCTTTTTATCTGTCAGGAAATCAAGATAGAAATCTCTGATCGTCTCCTAACCCAAACTGAAAAGTAGTGAGTAGTCGTGTCGCAAAAAAAATATTTCTAAATACACAAACCAACACATATTTGATAGCGGAACACTCTTCAGTTTTTAGCGCTATTTTAAAAGGTTTACATATTAGTAATTATCTGCTCGAGTTTAGACATTAATGACATTGCAGGTCGAAGGTATTTCCATAGAATGAAATACTTTAATAAAAGCGATTTGGGTTTTCAACTAAAAATTATTCGACTGGGTCAAAAAAAGGAAACTCGATTCTCCCAGTTCACCCTCGAATGCGTTTTGGTATTTGATCCCTCTATGGTTCGATTTCAAAGACGATCTTTTGATACGATTTCTATTTTCAAAAACCCGTGAGAGCTTGAAATAATTTTAACAGATGAAGCTATATATATGTAAATGAGAACTGTGATGTCTTGAAATATGTACAATGAACATTTTTTCTGTATAAAAAATTCTTTTTCGTCCATTGATTCGCCCTTCCAGCTCCGCACCTGCTGATGGTCTTATCTTGTTCTTATTTCAATTACCCGAACTGCCACCACTCCCAACAGCCTTGTAGTTTAATTATTTATATTCCACTATCTTAAATGCCTGCTCTTGGTTGCTCTTTTGAGGCCCTAAGCAAACTCAAGACGCGTTCGTAGTCTAACTAATCGCGAGTTTCACCGCTTTAAAAATTTTTGATGAGTCAATAGAATGACTAGAAAAACTAAAAAAATACATCTTATTGTGTTCCCAAGCTAAAATATTTCTTGTCGGTCATGATATCTGTGAGCATCGTTATTTCAGAATCTAGTGTGATGATATTCGAGCCAACTAAAACGACGGACAAAATAAAATAAAGAAATATACCCCCAAGATGCACTTTTAAGCTTAAACATTCAGTAGTCACGTTAGTAAGAGATTAGAAAAGGTTTTACAATTAGAATAGATTCAAGGAATAAAAGCAAATAGCCTTAATTGCACTGCTGTGGGCCAACACAACACTAGCTTTTTTGTTTACCTAACTTAAATTGAACTTTAGGAATAAAGATGAATAATAAAGATGGCAGATTCCACAGAATAATCGTTCTCCCTGTAACACCTACAAGGAATAAAAAGATTCATATAATCCAAATTAAACGTTTGATGTCTTGAAAAGGTTCTGTCGAACTCAGACAAAGATTCCCAAGCATTCGATAGCATAATCACTGAAATATGGACAGTATTCAGAGGTTCTAGGAAATTAAAAATGCCAGTGGAAACACAGCTGCAAAGAGACTGTTGACCTAAGAAATTCGACCGAACGAGTCGACTTTTCAAAAAATTTCTTTGGGCCCTATATGCAAGGGTGGGTGAGATACGACCATATGGAGATAAGAAAAGGCAATATGATATCCGAATAAATTAAGATGAAAAAGAATTGACTGAAGAAATAAACTACCAAGAGTTTAATTTAACTTAGTGTTCATTTTGTTTGATTTCGCGAATTGATTTTTCTACGTACCCTTGGAGATCAATCCAATGAATTGGCTCTAACTAATATGTACGTTCACAATGAAATAGTTTTAGCACGAAAGACTTTTTCCTGTCGAAAATAAACACGACATAAGTACGAGTTTGAAAAGAATGGCATGGCGACTCAAACCAGGGGACAGAATGACAAAAACATGTTATCAAGAAGTGTCTAATCTCTCGAGGCATCAAAACTCTTCGAGAACATATGCTATGGAATAGTGTTGAGTCGAGTTATGATGTGTGTACGTGTGGTGTGTGAATCTCAGGTGCTTGATGTACAAATTTACAGGAACTTTTTCGTCGTAATTAAAGTAAAGATGGCATTCTTCAAATATAATATGGGGATAGCAAGCTTTTGTGAACTTTTGGGAGAATGTTGCTTTTCTGGTGTGGAGTATTGGTTCCGGTATTCATTCAGATGGATGCTGTAGGCGATCGTAAAAGGGATTTGAATTACCGATAGCTCGACATCATAATAATAAAATGTTAAATACTGTTCTGGTATGGAGCCATTCTTCGAGAAGCCAATCAGCTGTCCTGCAAGAGAAATACCTTCCAGCCAATCACGAGGCGTCTTGTTTGGATGGCTGTCAATCAAGGCCACGTGTTACAAATTACTGCGTAATTAGACGATGCGTTGCGTTTCTGCCGGAAAGTAATCTTTATGCATAAATATTCGCTTTGTATAAAACCCCATTTGGCTGCTATTTTACACCACAACTCCTGACAACTCCGGTAAACAATTCCAAATACAATTTACTAGAGCTAAGAGGTTTAGTTAGTGAAGCAATGTTTGATGAGTCGTAGGGTACTCGTGAAAAAGTGTCGTGAAAAATCCCGGATAGTGCACGAAAAAGGCACTCCTTCGTTATTTAATGAAATGTTAATAAGGTTGCACACCCGCGGTGGAACAATACATAACACGTGCGAAGAAGAACAACAATATAACATCATATTTAACAAAGGGAGGAGCTCTCTCGTGTGACGTTTCAATGAGACGTTCTTAAACCTCTTAACAACCACCGTAAGGACAGGCAGCTGCGAGTAGCACAATTAAAACATTTGCGCTTCCGATACGAAGCACACTTGAGGTTCCAACGGACAACGAAGACATCTCAGCCTAGCCAAGATATTTTCACTCCAGCGGCGAACCTGAGCATTCGATCACCAACTCCAAGCAAGTCAAAGCTCTCGGGATCTACACGCAATAACAAGTAATTTCAGCAAGATAACGGTTCGTTCGAGCTGTAAGTGGAATATTATTGGTATAATATATTCCAAAAGAGCTCCAGCTCGGAAAAAAGAGGAATTTTTAGTAGTCTCGCAAGAACAAGCAGCAAGCTAAAGCTTTCATCATGCCTAGGGCTTTTCTAGTCAAGAAAAACAAAAGTCCAAGATCGCCAGGCGGAGAGAAAAGAAGTTTTCCGGATGAAGACTACAACCCGAACTTTAACTATGTTGACAATAGAATATTTTCAAGTTCGTCTGCGGTTTCAGGAATAATTCATTCGCCGACTGAGTCAGATAAATTTCCCGTGTTAAGTTCATTAACTTCGATGTTCACCCCAACCAACACAACTGCCAGCTGTAACAGCGCCTTCAAACCGTTCAAAACAGAGAAAGAGAATTCTTCGAAGAAGCAAAAACCAAATCCTCAGACCTCAGAAGTCAAAGCTGAAAAATCGACAAAGAGCAGTAAGGAGAGCAACACGACAAACCGCGACTTGGTTAATGATAGGCATTCAAGTGAGCACGGGGGACCCAAAACAGCCGTCTTAGAACACAAGGAATTCGCTATTTTCAGCGAAAATAACAATTTCCCAAAACCCAAAGGCCCTCTACCACAATCTCAGTTTATTTGCCAGCTTTGTGACGAAGTCTACACGGATCCCTTTTCTCTAGCGCAGCATAAGTGTAGTGGAATTCAACACACGGAGCACCGGTGCCCAGAGTGCGATAAGGTGTTTAGCTGCCCCGCGAACTTAGCATCGCATCGAAGATGGCATAGACCAAGATCTCCTCACGAGAAAAAAACAGCTCCAGCGCCTCCGATTAAAGAAGCAAAAAAGTTCGAAAACGCTGAGAGCGACGTTGAAGCCGATCAGAAACCAGGATCACCTCCACTGGAATCCGATCGCAGCACCAGCCCGGTAAGCAACAGGCAAGGGCAGTTCGTATGCACTGTGTGTAACAAGACATTCAGACGTAAAGCGTATTTACGAAAACATATGAATAACCACACGGACGATCGTCCATATCCCTGCCAGTACTGCGGAAAGGTATTTCGAAGCCTGACGAATCGAGCCAAGCATGTCCTGAACCACGCTGTTGGTCCAAAGACATTCACTTGTAATGTTTGTGGCAATGGATTTTCTAACAAGGGAGGCCTCGACCGTCATTCACGTATTCATGCAGGTGAAATATACTCTTGTAAACACTGCAGTAGTACTTTTTATAGCTCGCCTGGTCTAACAAGGCACATAAACAAGTGCCATCCTCCAGAAAACCGCCAAGTTATTGTACTCCAAGTCCCTGTACGGCAAGGCTAGACTCACATCCAAAAGAACACAAGACAATCTAACTTATATATTTTGTATATAGTTTCTAAGATGCGAGCGAAATTGTAACATATAGATATATTTACAGAGAAGGAAAAAAGAAAAGTAAATTTAAAACAATATGTAGTTCTGCTATGGATTTTAATATTCGTTGTACATAAAAATCGTTCAGTGTTTACAAATTTAGTACATCCACGAAATCGTTCGAGAATTCTTTCACATTGGCAAAAAAATAATTTATCGACGGTAATACGAATTGTCATAAATAGTCTCAATTTGTGTAACTTCTTGTGTTTAGATTGAAAGTTGTTTTACGTTCAGTAGTATGTGTTTTAGTTTTTTGTTTGTTGAGAACGATGCAGCTGCTAACAAGTGTTTTTTTGGCCATTCGCTTATGTAAATTCGGTTACTGAATGCTAGCGGAATCTCTGATGGAAAGGTTCAATTCAAATAAACAACATAAACGGAAGAAAAATTCCAAACTTGTTATTGTTGCTCATTTGAAATCTAGGGGAAAATATTTCCGCGCGTTGTCTGTGTTGTTAACCTTTATTACTGTCCAACTGAGGACTTTTTAAGTAAAATCGCCAAGCATAAGCCCCATCTACAATCATAGCTATAACTATTTGTAGATACCATCAAAGAATTGTAGCATTTATTCAACTATATACTAAATTCAACGTGTCCTAAATAAAAACTATGGTATTTTTCTAAGTCAAATAACTAGGTCCTAGGTTTAGTAGTATTAGATTTCGAGATTATGCACTTCTTTGTCTCTAAAACCTTGCTTCTCTGGCAGTAATCTTGAAGCTCTCGATCAAAATATTGTCGCACTAACTCACTTTCTTAAATTCGATCAGGGCCTCAGGGTACGGGCTTTCAAAAATCGAGGAAAAAAACCTATTAAATTAATATCCTCTACATTTATATTCAAGACAATACAGACAGTTATTTTCTAGCTTTCAATTGAAATATAAAGTTTTATTCCCCATTAATTTAGTCTATTGAAAAATCGATGAAAGGAAATTCTTGTCCACGAGTTTCTCTGTTGCCAACGTAGCAAAAGAGGCAAGTGTTTAGGCAACTAGCATGATTCGCGATGGAATGTATTTGGATAATGCTATCAGGGTTACCAAGAGTGCTTTACTCTTTAAAAGAGTATTTTAAAAAACACATTTTTCTCGTTCAGTTGAAGTGTCCTTTCCGCCTGAGATCAAATACGAGATTGGACAGGCCGAACACAATCGGAGAGAAGGCCGGAATTCTCACATTTCGACATCCTGATGACTCGAGCCATGTTTACAAATTTTGGATGCTACTTTGGCCAAAGTGGGAGGATAGACTCTAAATGAGAAACTTTGGACTAGCTTTTTATTGGGAGACAGTGTTTAATAACAATGACAAAATAGCAATACTGTTTAAGACATATCAGAATGTTAAATTATGAGCTAAACCTCAAATTTTATTGGTCGAAAGTTGTACTCTATTTAGAGAATTTTTTTTGATCGCTCGCTAAAAGGCCTTTAAAAGACACTGGCCGACGCGTGTATCCAAAGCGGCTCAAGATCATAGCTTTGGTAACGATTTTTGGCAACCTATTTTTAAATTATTGCTTTATTTAGGACGCACGCTTTAGCCAAACTTGTGTTTTCAGGAATTTTTGGCAAGGTCTTCGTATACTTTTCTGCTATTCATAGCGTCTTTTCTTCCATCGAGAATAGCTGTTTAAATATTCTGCTCTCCTAGAACCATACCGGAATTTCTCCTAGCTATCAATGACTGTATTGTTGAAAGAACTCAAMAAATACTGGTTGCTTAGGTAAAGTCTTGATCCAAGAAAAATCCCTGACGTTAGCCATAAACACGTTCATTTAATATTTATTCTTATGGAAATAGTAACTCAAAAAGATATGAATAATGACTTCGATTCCGATGGATATATATCGATCCAATTATTCCAGATATTAGCTGCTTTTCTCCCTATTGGAGGTGTATATTTTGAGTCAAAACATTGAGGGTTATTTATTTAGACGCAATGAGCCAGAAAAAAAAAAACCGCATATTAAAAAGCTATGCGAAGAACCTGTTTTGATCAAATAAAATTTATCATATTTCCATGGAGCTCATATACAAATCCAAGATCGAATGAAGAATGAATAAAAATTTTGCATTAAGATGTAACGTGTCTTCGTGTCCAAGAACAAAAGACCTGTATACAATCCATAGACTTTTGGCATTCGCAGCAGGCTTAAAAATGATTATATTTCTGATTCGCTTAAATTGCAATTTGCTTACAAGCCAGTGTCCAAAAAAAAGACTATAGATAACTTTAGTTAAACGAAGGCACGAAGATGAGTCCAAGGATCCAAGACTGTTAATCAAAAATAGTAAAGGAGACAGACATCAACCTGTCTATCGGCTTCACATCATTCATGTATGAACGTATCCTATGTAAATTTTACTGGTCGCATCAGGCCATAGAAATGTGTATTTAAGCGTGAATGAAAATAGGGTGACTTGTGCAAACCATCAAAAAGGGGAATTCTTTAAGGAGTTTATTAGAAATTTTTCCGGATGAGGTGGATTTGAATGGGRAAAAAAGGGTTTGTATTTGATATCAGAGTCTACAATGACAACCTAGTGAAGTGAAGACCGTACATATGCTGTATCTAAGCAATGGAATGAAAGGTGTCGTTTCAACGTTTGAATCAGTGTTGACTCGATGAGGGGAAAATACTGCCAAATGCCGCTAAAGCCACACTTTATGAAACCTTTTAGCGAAAATCACTACAAATATTCAATTTATTCAGTTTTGGACACCATCGTTTAGTTCTCAGTCGAGCTATTCAATGGGGGTGCATTGTGATATGACTAAAGCATGGTCCTTTGTTTTCGATCAGTAGGAAAACGAGTACAATAATAGACGTCATCCCACAAGCTATGGGCCCTTCAAAAGAAGCATTATCTAGCAAATATTCCAACGCAAGGTCAAGAAATCTATTTTATGAAAAATTTTCACTTCTGAAAGACCTTTCTCTTGCAATTTCGTGTTTTTTTTTAGTTTGTCTTTTGTTCTCTCTTTTTTTTTTGTCTCTAAAAACAGAAACCTTTGCTTTGTCTCGAGAATTTCGAACCTCTATTTACAAGTTTGTTTGATATCGGAATAAGAAATTTCATAAAAGGCATTTATTTTATGTCATGTGACGTTAGTTCGCCGATTAGCGGCTGTTAGTTCAGCTGAGGAGATCTCTATCTGTTACCAGGGAGAGTAGAGCTATTGAATATTCAAATAAGAGCAAATTTCTAGGGCCTCGCAGCTTGAAAAGAGCGCAGTTCATGCGACTACAAGCTCCTCTGTTTAGGATGGAAGCCACTGGCCTTATTACGCAGGTTAAATATCGAGATATCTCAGAATGGAAGCCGATATTCTTAAGATCTTAAGTGAAGATCAGATCTTTCTGTTTCTTAAGCACCGATACAATAAAATCAACTGGTTTACTGGTATCGTTTTGATAATTCCGGTGTATAGAAAACTTCTGGTAAATTCTAAGAATATTTTTCTAATACACAGGTTTTAAGTTTTTAATAAGGTGTTTTTGAAACTGAGGATTAATATCGAAAAATCAACGCAGGAATTAGACTTTTCTATATCAACAGCCAGCAATTTTGATCAAATACTGAACACCAAGAGAATGTTTTGATCGAGCAATTTTGTGCCAATGTTTGCGGTTCAGGAGTGGCCCAAGCTCAAAAACAAGATGAAAAACAAACGTACAACATTGTTTGGTTCACTACTGTTACCATGGTGATTAAGAGTCGGCAATCCACAGCCAACGCTTGTGATGTTTTTGCCTCGACTGACTTCCAAAGCCCCCGGAACACTATTAATATTATTTCCATTTTTGATACACGTTTTAAAAGGATCTCTACTTTTGGTTAATCAAAAATGATTTGAACTGCCAATTCTCGGAACATTTTTTTAGAGTATCCTGGACTCTAACGTATGAAGAAATTTTCCAAATTAATTTCCATCGAAGGCGGAGCTAAAGCCCCGGGAAAATAATCTACTCTTCATTCATTTCCGCGACCCCAAAGCTTGGGATGCAAATATTTGCGAGCATAGATAAGGAATTATTTGGTCGACTATAGATGACAAACTTTTACAGGAAACATTAACACTACTGCTTTGTCGGTATTTCTGCGCCTTGACATTCACACACAAGGGAAAGTTCTAATTTGAACGGAGTTTTATCACCATTAGTTCTACTACAATCTGAAATGTGTGTTTTCCCTAAGCGACGGCTCTCACTCACTTAACTCTCATGAAATGACATGTGGACCTTTTGTTCTAGTTGACGAATTCTTTGTGGTGGTGAACGATTGCTCGGTTACAAGAATTACCGCACTAGAATTTCGAGACAAATGAGACCCAGATTTTGAAAACAACTTCAATGTTGATTTTAAAAACAATCTTCAAGGGTTGGAAACAGATTCGTAAACAATTTCTAGCGAATTTTCTTTTAGGGAATCGGGAAATTATACTGTTCTAGTCATCATCTAAAAGTCATAATATCCCCTAAGTACATCAGTTATCTACTAATTCAAAATGAGTATAGAGCTTTCCTAAGATCGAAATACTAAAGAGCATTTGTTATATAAATCGGTTCTAGAAAGATGGGTATTTTTACAGTTAATCTAGCGCGCCCTTCCCCTAAATAGATCTTTGGTCAATTAAAAATATTTTTTCAATGATAATTCTAAAGTCTGCCTAACAAGGGTTTGTTTTAAGAGCATATGAATAATTTTAGGTAGTTTGTGAATCGAGTTGTCTGTACCCTGCTGTGTTTTGCCGCGTTGAAATTGATTCACCCCCAAGTTCACCGCGCGCGGCTTGTTTAGTATATCGATATTTCGGGGCCTTGTTTTTTTGATAAAAGCTTGATCGATAAATAGCCATCGAACGGGTTAAGTTATCCATCAGACCGCGATTCAAAGTCATTAGTCTTCAAAATGCTGTCAGGTGTCAAAATCTTTTCTTATTCCCACGAGTGACCACCTCTGATCTCCGTGAAAGGAAAGGGTTCAAGTTATAAAGAACTCTTTCCTTTCTCTCTTGCGGTATTTAGGAATCATTCCTAATCTAAACAGTTGAATTACGTTCATAACAACTTTAAAGTATATTTCTCATAAGCGCTTAATCACATTAGGAGAATTCCCTAAATGAGACAAATTCTATATTATTCAAAATGCTTTTCAAAATGCTTTTCAAAATGCCTCACTGAGAATCTTTGCCAATTATTGCTCTGGAGGGAATTAATTTTTTTGTCGAACAGTCGAAAAACACAGCCTATTGTTTGCGAAAACTTGGGGATTTCCGTAATTGATTAAGAAAAAAATTCCAAAACCAGTGTTTCAATCAATGGTATTTATTTTTTAATTATTTCTATTGAATTTACATGTAAATGTTCTGAAGAATGTCCAACGC